AGGCAGAATATTCTAGCGCAGTTTGAGAAAGATGGGTATGGTACTTACCTCCAACCTGTCTTCTAGAAATTCTACCAAAATATAGTATTGTCGAATTTTGCAGTTTTGGACTTATGCCAAAAATTTAATAAGACTATGGACTGTGGGCATGCCCTCCACATCTATTCCATTTGCCTAAAGAGCAGAAGCAGTTCCTTGGAAGGGATGAGTGAAATGGAGCAAATAAACAGCTGGAACTAACTCGGACATGTCAGTAGATGTAGCCTCTACTGTGTTTTGGGAGAGAGACCTAAATCCTAGCTTAGCCCCACCCACCTTGTTAGGCAACACCGGTGCGGGAAAGTCAAGAAATTTCAGAAGCGAGTGCAGAACCTCACTCCAAAAGCAAACCCAGAACTTGGCATTAGTAAAGGAATGTGGCTTCTCCTCCCTAAAATCCATCCTCTATGAGTCAATGGAAGATTAATTCACAGAAATTAAACATGAATCAGATAAGTTTAGATGTGAATCAAAGAAAAGTTACCCACATTGTATTAGTTCAAGCAGCAACCCATACAAAGACTCATCCTTCAGTTCAGTCACTCAGTCATGTCCGACTCTTTGCAACCCCATGGTCTGCAGCATGCCAGGCCTCCCTGTCCATCACCATCTCCCAGAGCTTGTTCAAACTCATGTCCATAGAGTCAGTGATGCCATCCAACCATCTCATCCTCTGTCATCCCCTTCTCCTTCTGCCTTCAGTCTTTCCCAGTATCAGGGTCTTTTCCAATGAATCCACTCTTCACGTCAGTGGCCAAAGTACTTCAGCTTCAGCATCAGTCCTTCTAATGAATTTTCAGGACTGATTTCCTTTTAGATAGACTTATTTTATCTTCATGCAGTCCAAGGGACTCTCAACAGTCTTCTCCAACACCACAGTTCAAAAGCATCAATTCTTCAGTCCCGAGCTTTCTTTATAGTTCAACTCCTACATCCATACATGACTACTGGAAAAACCATAGCTTTGACCAGATGGACCTGCCAGCAAAGTAATGTCTCTGCTTTTTAATATGCTGTCTAGGTTGGTCATAGCTTTCTTCCAAGGAGCAAGTGTCTTTTAATTTCATGGCTGCAGCCATCATCTACAGTGATTTTTGGAGCCCAAGAAAATAAAATCTATCACTGTTTCTATTGTTTCCCTATCTATTTTCCATGAAGTGATGGGACTGAAGGTCATGATCTTAGTCTTTTGAATGTTGAGTTTTAAGCCAGCTTTTTTACTCTTCTCTTTCATCTTTATCATGAGGCTCTTCAATTCCTCTTTGCTTTCTGCCATAAGGGTGGTGTTATGTGTATATCTGAAATTACTGATATTTCTCCCTCAAATCTTGATCCAACTTGTATTTTATCCAGTCAAGCATTTTGCATGATGTACTCTGCACCTAAGTTAAATAAGCAAGGTGACAATTACAAACCCTCGACCTACTCCTTTACCAATTTGGAACTAGTCCATTGTTCCATGTCTGATTCTAAATGTTGCTTCTTGACCTACATACAGATTTCTCAGGAAATGGAACATAAAAATTATACAAAGTCATAGGCCAAGGATCACGAACTGGGAAGAGTGTGTTTTGTCTCCCTTGTGCGTGCACTCCCTCTCTTTAACAATTGCACCTCAGGGTTTTGATGTAGAGTGTCCATGATCTGGTTTCTCATGGCCATCACTTCATCTAAAGCACCCAGCTTACTCTATACAGCTCTGGCAGGCACCAGCCCTGTGTCAGCCTGTAAGGTTGTGACTTCTGACATAAAGTGAGATTTCCTTGTACCTAGAGACAAAATTAGTTGTCTGAGTGGTATATTATCTCCCAAATAAAAAAATTACTAGCTTAGAAACAGAGCCTGGTTAAATATTGAACTCGAAAGGTAAAGAAAAAAATATTCAAACACCCAGGCAAAGAAAACAAATTACTTATAAGAGTCAAAGAAAAAGATCAGAAAGTGTTTGTACATTTTATATACATATATAATCAGACATATTTATACATGTGTGATAAATGTGTATGTATAAAACTTACATGTGAATATATGCATGTATACTCAATAACAGCCTATACTGGAGTAGTATCTACAAAGTCTTGAGAGACAAAGTTTGGATTCAAATTTTAAACCCAAGAAATAATCTGACTTTCAAATATGAAATATAAATATAGTTGTCATTCAAATATAAAAGCATCAGTCAGGTAGATGAGCTATAGAATGTCACACCATCAACTCTGCAAAAAGTTACTAGACATTGTAAAGCACTGGAAGATGCACTAAAAGGACTGATGCAATTCTCAGGCCAAGAAATGTTGGAACAATGCCTAAAATAACTCTGATGGAAGGAAAATAACCTTTAAAAAGTATATCCAGATAAATTGTTCTTGATTTTTAAAATCGTAATTATGCAAAAGCCCAGGTAGGTAGCCCCAGTGAGATGTCAACCACCACAAAACCAGACCTACCTGGTGATGAAACTCAGGTAAGCACAACTTGGTGGGTGATCAGAAGTGAACACTGAATCCATTCATGCATAGAATTAAGATTAAACAACTGTGAATCACACAGTTATAGAACAGAATCTCAGTGTTACATATCCAGAAATAAAAAAGCTTATTCTATAACTAAAAAAACTGAGAGATAAGGGAAGACATTTTCTTAAATGTTACAGTAGAATTTTTCTTTCTTTCAGAGCAGGAGATTGATTGTCTTCATCTGTAATTGAAACAGGTTATGAAAAGATGGATTCAAACACTTTATGCTGTATTCTTTCTTTACATTTCTTTTCCTTCCTTAGAGATTTCAGGAAGCAAAGAAAAATGTAAAATGTATATACACCTATGTATATATTAATATATGCTTATGTATATTTCAGTGGGCTTTCCTGGTGGCTTACACAATAAAGAAACTGCCTGCAGTGCAGGAGACTTGGGTTCAAGCCCTGGATCAAGGAAGTCCCCTGGAGAACAGAATGGTTATGCATGGCAGGGAGATCAAACAAGTCAATCCTAAAGGCAAGCAGTCCCAAATATCCATTGGAAGGACTGATGCTTTAGCATGACTGAGCGACTGAACTGAACTGAAGTGGCTCAGATGGTGAAGAATCTGCCTGCAATGCATGAGACCCAGGTTCAATACCTGGTTCAGGAAGATTCCCTGGAGAAGGGCATGGCAACCCACTCCAGCACTCTTGCCTGGAGAATCCCGTGGACAGAGAAGCCTGTTGGGTTACAGTCCATGAGGTCGCAGAGTCGCGTACGGCTCAGTGACTGACGCACACGCTCCCAGCACCGTATAGTGGACAGGAGACAGCACTGATATACCTGGTGCCTGAGTGGTCACAGCAAAAGGATTTAGGAAGCCCCACTGTGTGCTGTCACTCAGTCATGTCCGACTCTTTGCGACCCCGTGGACTGTAGCCTACCAGGCTCCTCTGTCCATGGGATTCTCCAGGCAAGAATACTGGAGTGGGTTGCCACGCTGAAGTCCCCCCAGTACTTGGCACAAAAAGCAGCACTTCGCTGATGGGAGTGACCATTGTGAGATACCCATCCAAGAAGGGTCAAGGTAAGAGGTCACAAGGTGTGGAGGTCATGGGGGAGCCAGGACAGAATAATGGTTGAGAAGATGGAAATTATCAGTTGATATTAAGATGCCAGAGAGCAAAAAGATGGTGGGAATTATGATACAAGGAAGAATCAAAACATGATAATTAATCACAGTTTTTTCTTTGGACAATAAAAATCTGCCCATTTTAGGTAAAAGTGTGTCTTATGCTTTTAACTGTTTTATTATATGAATATGTTACCTTGACAAAAAAGTAAAATAAAAAATCTTCCCCTTTTGTGGGTGTCATCATATCTGAGAAAACAGTGGTTGCTGCCTGAAAGCTTTCTCTACCAGATTATATCACTTCGAGGCTGTGTAAGAAGGGCCTAAGGCATTGAAGATATGGATATACTTTATCTGAAAATTCAGGTTTTTAAAAAAACTCTAAATATCAACAGCATAAAAGTATAATGCAAAAACCCAACACTTCAGCCTTAATTCTTACTTTTTAAGCTATTTCATTGTTTTTTAAAAAGTACTTCAAGCTCATTTAAATGATTTAACTATTTCAAAGAACTAAAAAATTTAGAAGTTAATGGAAAGAAAATAAATCCAAAGCTCATCTCTTGCCATAATTAAATGAACACTATTAATATATGGCTTCTTCCCTGATAGCTCAGTTGGTGAAGAATCCACCTGCAATGCAGGAGATCCCAGTTAGATTCCTGGGTCGGGAAGATCCGCTGGAGAAGGGATAGGCTCCCCACTCCAGTATTCTTGGGCTTCCCTTGTGGCTCAGCTGGTAAAGAATCCACCTTAAATGTGGGAGACCTGGGTTTAATCCCTGGATTAGGAAGAGCCCCTGGAGAAGGGAATTCCAGTATTCTGGCCTGGAGAATCCCATGGACTGTATAGTCCATGGGGTAGCAAAGAGTCAGACACAACTGAGCCACTTTCACTTATTAGTATATATTTATATATCAGTGTTCAGATACAATAGTACACAGACAATTATATAAAAATGATTTCACACTACTTGTACATTTTAATAGAAATCACTAAACATTTTTTATTGAATTTAACAAATAAGAGGAAACAAAAGAAATTGCTGTAATATGAAGTGTTAGTCGCTCAGTCATGTCCAACTCTTTGAGACTTCATGAGCTATAGCCTTTGTGCTCCTCTATCCTTGGGATTCTCCAGGCAAAAATCATTTCAGTTCAGTCACTCAGTCATGTCCACCTCTTTGCAACCCCATGGTATGCAGTACACCAGGCTTCCCTGTCTATCACCAACTCCCAGAGCTTGCTCAAACTCATGTCCGTCATGTCGGTTATGCCATCCAACCATCTCATACTCTGTCATCCCCTTCTCCTGCCTTCAATCTTTCCCAGCATCAGGGAAATATAGTCTTTTTCAATGAGTCAGTTCTTCACATCAGGTGGCCAAAGTATTGGAATTTCAGCTTCAGCTGGGTAAGTTAACCCATTTGCAGCAAGTTCCAAGACCTCTGGAAAGAAAGTAAGCACAAAATGAATACACATTTCTCAGATACATGCATCTAACTTAATAGTCATTGAAAATATAGATATTCTAAGCAGAACTGTTTTATATACAACAAAGAAAATATTGGGGAGCCCCTATGACCTTAGAATCATTTGGCTTTTAATTACCAAGTAATCATCATAGGTCAATAATCTGATGTTAAGGTGTTTGAAATTATAAAACAAATAAATTGGGAGGGGGACAGCACTCAGTAGAATATCAGACTGACCTGCAGTTGTTTTGGATTTTTGCTTACTAACTTGGAGTCTTGGAGGAATTGTTTCAATGACTCTGAACCTGTTTCCCTTTCTGTGGGGACTATAATACCTATCTGGGAGAAATATTTGGGTCTCTAGTATTTGTTTCTGTCATTCCTAGGCTCATCTTTCACCTCTTTCATAGTAAGGTGGTTCATGTAACTGGTTCTGACTCAAAGGCATACATCATTCATGCAATAAGGCAGAGGAAAACCCTTTTGCAACCTCCTAACTCTCTCTCTTGTATAAAGAGTAGAGGCCTTTATTAAGGAAACAAGGCAGAAGATTGAAGAAGCCAGTGTCCTCAGATTTGCAACATGGATATTTGGCTAATCTGCAGTGGACTTTGTGTAAGTGATAAGTTTCATTCTTAAGCCTCTGAAGGTTTGAAATTGTATATCATACAGGATAAGGTCATCTGATCTAATATGGTAAAGTCATTTCAGTCCTGTTGGACTCTTTGTGACCTGATGGACTGTAGCCAGAGGAGCCAGGCTCCTCTGTCCATGGGATTTCCCAGGCAAGAATACTAGAGTGGGTTGCCATTGCCTTCTCCATGGGATCTTCCCAACCCAGGGACTGAACCCATGTCTCTTACATCTCCTGCACTGGCACGTAGCTTCCTTACCACTAGCGCTACCTGGGAGACCCCAACCTAAAGTAGGGTGAGGAAACTATGTCAGGTGCTGGAAAGTGAGGGTGGTAAAGAAAGGCGTATGAAAGTATTATCCATGTTTGTTGTTCAGTTGCTCAGTCATGTCCAACTCTTTGTGACCCCATGAACTGCAGCAAGCATGTTAGCCAGGAGCAAAATGCATGCTAAACCTGTGGACACTTGGGGAGCAGATTACTTGCCTCAAGAACTTGTGCCTCTAGGAGAAGGGATTGAAGACACAGCTTCATCCTAATTGCTAGTGGCTAATAGCTACATTTGGCAAGGTATTACAAGAAAGGTATGAGTCTAGGAAAAAAAAAATTGGCAAATTTTCAAACAGTAGTAAGATTTAGTAAGAATGGAGAGACCCAAGAAATTTAGGGTATTTGTGTCAACAACAAAGTGTAAGAGATAAAATTTTAAAAGATTTTGAGGGACAAATGCAGATTTTTTAAAAATTGTTTTACTCGATGTCCAAATGCCTCAGTTGACTAAGATAACTCAGGGTAGAGATAAAAGCAAGGACGTGGCTTTCCCACAAAAACCTAACAGCCCCCACATAACCAGAAGCAGGAGATAATGGGATGTAGCAAACCAAAGGATTTTATGATGGTATCAGTCTCCCCTCAGTTATAAGGTGGCAAATTATCAAAAGAGAACTTTAAAACAATTATGAAACCAATTGAAGATCAGCTTGACTTTGTCATCTCCATATGCCAACAGCCCTATGCCACCGTGTCAGGGGCATAATTCTCAATCAGCCTGAGGCCAACCAATCTTTCCTCTCTTTCCATACCCTTATGAGTTTCCCTGATGACTCAGAGGTAAAGAATCCACAGTAAAGTCTCCTGGCACACAGGAGATTCCTTCGATTCCTGGGTCAGGAAGATCCCCTGGAGAATGGAAAGGCTACCCACTCCAGTATTCTGACCTGGAGAGTCCCATGGACAGGGAGCCTGGCAGACTACAGCCCATGGGGTGGCAAAGAGTCAGACACGACTGAGCGACTAAGCACACACACACAAGAGTGAGAAAGCAAATCAGTACTTCAGACCGGAGAACCCTGTCATCACGTAGACAGGAGTTACTAAGCTTTTGAGTTGCATTGGTTGAGAATCTCTAGGCCTGGGGTAAAAGAGCCTATGATTGTGAAACACTCCTCAGTACTCTAATAATCAGTAGTCAGGAGTTGGACTTAGAGAGTTTCTCAGTCCCCGAGAGGGATCTATTTCCTCATATCCACTTTAGATGTGGCCAAGGAAAATAATAGGAAAGATTAATAATAGACAAGGGAAAATTCTCCAGAGGACATAGTATCTGCTACATAATGAGAGGTATACCTGTATTGCCAAAAAGAGAAATACAAGGTCACATAATGTGCTCCAAACTTGAAAATGTGAAGATTTAGGTTTAATGTTCTACATGACTGTTGGATATAAAGATTACACTTATATAAAATATGTAATAGACACTGGGCTTCCCTGGGGGCTCAGTATGTTATATTAATACAAGCATGCCTGGGTTTACTGAACTTTATTACACCTCACAAATACTGCGTTTTTGCAACTTGGATGGTTATGGTTACCATGTGTCCAGCAAGTTTATTGGTTCCATTTATCTTACAGCACTATTTTTTAATTAAGTTAAATTTATTTATTTATTTTTAAACATTTTTATTTTGTATTGGGGTATAGCCAATGAACCATGTTGTGATAGTGTGAATGGTGAAGGGATTCAGCCATACATATATATATATATATATATCCATTCTCACATCACAGGCTCCATGGACATGCGTTTGAGCAAATTCCAAGGGACAGTGAAGGACAGGGAAGCCTGGCGTGCTGTAGCCAGTGGGGTCACAAAGAGCTGCACGTGACTCAGTGTCTGAAGAGCGACACTGTCCCCCAAATCCCCTCCTCTCCAGGCGGCCGTGTAACATTGAGAAGAATTCCATGTGCTGTACTGCAGGTCTTGTTGGTTATCCATTTTAAATATAGTGCACATGTCCATCTCCAACTCCCTAACTATCCCTTCTGCCCATCCTTTCCCTTCTTACTTTCAAAACAGAAAGAGACTCACAGACTTAGCTAACAGCCTTATTTCTTTTTTTGTTTGTTTGTTTCCTGAAGATATTTATTAACATCCAAACATATTTTCAACAGGGGTGGGCATGATTCCTGACTTCCCCAGGATCCATGTTTTGCCTTATTTCTTAAATTAGAATTTGGACATTTTAAAAATGAAATGCTATTGCACAGACTCCAGTATAGTGTAAACATAACATAACACGCACTGGGAATATTCAAAATATCCATGCACCTTACTTTGTTGTGATATTTGTTTTATTGCCATGGCCTAGAACAAAACTTGCATTATCTTTGAGATACACCTATATATAGTAAATGTGTACTTTATTGTTGTTCAGCTTCTAAGTCATATCCAGCTCTTTATAACCCCATGGACTGCAGCTCACCAGGATCCTCTGTTCTCCAGTCTTCCAGAGTTGGTTCAAATTCATATTCATTGAGTCAGTGATGCTATCTATCTCATCCTCTGCCGTCCCCTTCTCCCGCCTTCAATCTCTCCCAGTATCAGGGTCTTTTCCAATGAGTCAGTGTTTTGCATCAGGTGTCCAAAGTATTGGAGCTTCATCTTCAACATCAGTCTTTCCAACAATATGTACATGGGCCCATTTTAATTGTGTACTTTAAATGTTCTATGGCTTAATTGCTTATTTACTTGTTCTGTTAGATATTGATGGGTATTAAACTCCACTGTTATCATGGATTTGCCTACTTTTCATAACTCTGTCAATTTTGCTTGGTGTGGTTTGAGGCTATGTTACTATATATAAACATATCAAAAATATTATATTTTCTTGACTCCATTTTTATTATAAAAATTTCTCTTTGTTTCTAGTAATGTTTCCTGTCCTAGAGTTTACTTGTTCTGGTAGTATATTCATATTTCAATTAATGTACATATGCTACATTTTTTCCTGTCCCTTCCTTTCAACATTTCTGTGTCCTTATATTTAAGATGCTTCCCTTAGAATTTGTATTTATGTGGACTTTGCTTTTTATAGCTTTCAATTGGAGAATGTAATCTATCGACATTTGATGTAATTACTGTTATATTTGAATTTGTCTTTATCACTTTTCTACTTCTTTGCTATTTGACCTAGTTATTTTCTTTCCTCAGCTCTTTCTTTCTTTGGGATTAATCATATTATTATTATTACTATTATTATCCTATTTCTTCTTCTCTCTTAGCTTGTTACTTAGGTATCATTTTATTCCTCTTTTGGGCTTCTCTAGGGGCTCACTGGTAAAGAATCCATCTGCCAATGCCAGAGACAAGGGTTTGATCCCTGAATTGGGAAGATTGCCTAGAGAAGGCAATGGCAACCCACTCTAGAACTCTTGCTGGGAAATCCCATGGACAGAGGAGCCTGGCAGGCTACAATCCATGAAGTCGCAGAGAGGTTGGACATGCCTTAGTGACTAAACAACAACAGTATTCCTCTTTTAGGGATTCCCCAGATATTACCATATAAATCTTTGACTGACTTGATGAAATAGAAATTATTGCTTTGAACACTTCTCATGCAATTCTAGAAGCTTAGAACACTTTCACTGGAAACCTATGAATGAACTGGAAGGCTTACTGGAAGTGGCTCAAAAACTTTGTTAGAAAGAAACCATTCCAACACAGCTGAGAAGAGATGAAAATGAAGCAATCCATTTCCTTCTCCTACCACCTCATGCTGATTGCATCTTGTCCTCCAAGTGAAAATGACTTGTGTATGACCCCTCCCAGGTCACAGTTTTGCCTTCAAGCACAACTGCCGGGGCTACATACAGCATCTAGCCCACTGTTGTACCACAACAGACAGGAAAAATAATTGGGGCCTATTAGCAGAAATTTTCCCAATGACTTTGGCAATATAAGCCCAATGTTTTCATGCATTAGTGTCTGTATGATTACTTAACTACTATTAAGCTTTGTAGATGAAAGATCATTGTTGCTTGGGTATAGCAACTACCAAATAAGTTGCAAGGAAAACGAACAAATTAAAGTAAAAGGCTTCAAATGGTGTTTTCAAAATTATATTCTTAATGTAAATTATCTTTGAGAAAAACTACATCAGATTTTTCATTGTCTCCTACTTTAGAACATCTCAGGTAAAAAATGTTTAAAAGTCACAACTGAATTTCAAATAAATATCAAAGATAATCTTTAAAAAGAATATTTTTTTTTAAGGGGAGCAGAAGTCTATGCCCTACAATGCTTTATCCTGATATGATCAGGCATATTTTCTGTCTCCTATTTCAGTCTAAGGGCTTCTCAATTTAAATAAGCAATACTGACTGGGGAAAATAATTCCATTACGTGAGCTACCTTCCACATCACTGGCTAGAGTCTTTGAGAAACTGTAAGCTACCGTTTGTAAGTATGGTGGTGGTTTAGTCGCTAAGTCATGTCTGAATCTTGTGACCCCGTGGACTGCAGCCCACCGGGGTCCTCTGTCCATGGGATTCTCCAGGCAAGAAAACTGGAGGGGGTTGCCATTCCCTTCTCCATTTGTAAGTGTGGTCAGTGAAGTCAGCACACGACTGTTTACTAAATTCCGAGAGCATAGCAGTGACTTTCTCCAATAGAACAATGTAATACCATAAAAGAGCTTAGCAATTACCTGCCTAGAAATCTGCCAACTTTTTTTGTAATGGGTCGAATAATAAATACTTAAGCTTTGTGGTCTCTGTCATAAACAATAAACTATTGTCATTGGACAAAATTGGCTGTAGACAATACATAAACGGATGGACTTAACTATAATCCAATAAAACTGTATTAACAAAAGCAAACATTAGGCAATATATGAGGTGTGTTTCCTTGTTCCCCAATCCCAGATCTGCTTCAGACTCTTCACTGAACATAAGGCAAAGCTAAGCACAAAGCCATCACGATTTGCTCAAGAATATTCAGTCACCAAGTTGCCCTAGTAGTTCCTAGAGTTCCCAGAGGAACTTTTCCATATTAAAAAGGAACTTTTAATATTAATTTTAAATTATTTTAAAATTTTTTAATTTAAAAAATTTTTTTAAATTAAAAAATAATTTAAAATATTAATTTTTCATATTAAAAAGAGGAACTTTTCCATATTAAACAAAATAGAATTAATTTTAGTAAATCTCTCTCATTCTCAGTTTCCTCACTGGAAAAAAAATGAGAATGATGATAATGATAGAACATACCTTGCCTTTCATACAACGTTTGGCCCAGTGGAAACTCTCCTTGCCTAGTGAATGTTCTTGGCACAGGGTCCTGATATAATGTCTGTGTAAAGACAAACAGGCACACTCACAATTGCACTGCACAACCAGAGGCGTGAGTGTTTACATGTGAGATGACGGTTCAAGGGAATCTGGGTCAGTGGAACTTGGACACATAGTGTCTCAGTGCACAGGCCAAAGGGAGCCAGGCACAGTGTTTTTATATTTTGTTGACAGCTACTCACTGCTTTGCTATTCATATTTTGGCCAGAAAATATCACTGAAGTTTTATTAGAATACAAAGAATAAAACTCAAGGGACCCTCAACAGACAAATCTACAAAGTCTAGGTTTGCTAGATAGATTTGTTGATGACTCTGACACCTCTGAGATGGACACCCCTTGCAAAGTGTCTCCATCCACGATGGTCAAGGTTTCTAGAACAATGTTGTGTGCCAAGCACTGGTGAAAGAAGTTCATGTACAAGAGCTCACTTAATGCTCACACAACATCAGGAGGTCTTCAATCAGGCATTAAACCCTATTCTGGGCCTGGGATATGGCAGGAAAGGGAAATGAAAAATTTCCCATTCTTGTGTGTTACTTTCTTGAGTAACCACATAAATGATTCTGGGTGTTGGTGTTATTAAGAAAAATAGAGTACCAACCCAATATATTAACACCTATATGTGGAATCTAGAAAAATGGCATAGATTATCTTACTTGCAAAGCAGAAGTAGAGACACAGACATAAAGAACAAATATATGGATACCAAAGGGGAAAAAGAGTGTTGAGAAGGATTTGGAGGTTGACATTGACATATATACACCACTGATACTATGTGTAAAATAGATGACTAATGAGAACCTATGGTACAGCACATGGAACTCTTACTCAGTGCTATGTTGGTCATCCAAATGGGCAGGAAATCAAAAAAAAAAAGGAGATATATGCGTATACATAGCTGATTATTTTGTTGTACAGTAGAAACTAAAGCAGCTTTGTAAAGCAATGATACTCCAATAAAGCTTAATTTAAAAAAATAAAAGTAAGGTAAGGAGAAAAAGAGATGGCAGAGCTCTTTAAAAGGATGGCCAAGGACATCAACTCCTTTAAAGCATAAGCCTGAATAAAATAGATGAGCAGGCTAGGAGCACTCCTGGAGGAGTATGACCAACCTAGACAGGATACTAAAAAGCAGAGACATTACTTTGCTAACAAAGGTTCGTCTACCCAAGGCTATGGTTTTTCCAGTGGTCATGTATGGATGTGACAGTTGGACTATAAAGAAAGCTGAGCGCAGAAGAGTTGATGCTTTTGAACCATGGTGTTGGAGAAGACTCTTGAGAGTCCCTTGGACTGCAAGGAGATCCAACCAGTCCATCCTAAAGGAGATCAGTCCTGGGTGTTCATAGGAAAGACTGAGGTTGAAGCTGAAACTCCAATACTTTGGCCACCTGATATGAAGAGCTGATTCCTTTGAAAAGACCCTGATACTGGGAAAGATTGAGGGCAGGAAGAGAAGGGGATGACAGAGGAAGAGATGGTTGGATGGTATCACCGACTCAATGGACATGAGTTTGAGTAAACTCTGGGAGTTGGCGATGGACAGGGGAGCCTGGCAAGCTGCAGTCCATGGGGTCAGAAAGAATTGGATGTGACTGAACTGAGGAGGAGAATGTGCCAAGACCATAATCAGAGGGTGCTCACAGTTAAGGGGTGCTTGGCATGTGTGAGGAACAGCACAGGTTCTACAGGACTATTGAAACCAGTGAGCTAAAGTAATGCTCAGACCTGGGCCCACAGTGGGAAGTTGGAGTGCCCCCTGCCTGAGTTGCCCTTGGGATGGCCTCCCCAGCTCCTGCAGCAGGCTTCCAGGGCCCAGTCTCTCTGCACTGGTCATTGTCTCTGCTGGAGGCCCATCTGCACATCAGCGGTTCCCCCAAGGAGCACAGCCTTCCTGTCTTCTCCTGGAGCACCGCCCTCCCTTACTCTCAGTACTTCCTTCTCTGGGATGTTCATCCACAGGGACATTTTCCCTGGCCACAGAGGAGATTGGCTTACTGGGAGGCCATAAGAAAGACCACAAGCCAGGTGGCTTAAACAACAGGCACTTATTTCCTTATAGTCCTGGAGACTGGAAGTCCAAGACCAAGGTGTCAGCAAGGTTGATGTCTCCTGAGGTCTCTCTTCTTGGCTTGTAAATGTCTGCCTTGTCATTGGGTCTAAATGTGGTCTTTCCTGTGCTTGCCTAACCCTGGTGTCCCCCTGTGTGACATCAGTCAAAGTGAACTAAGGCCCACTCTAACAGCCTCCATTTAACTTAGTCACCTCTAAAGGCCCTGTTTCCAAATACAGCCCCATTCTGAGGCACTGGAGACCAGGACTTCAACATCTGAATTTTGAAGGTGGTCAGTTAAGCCCAGAACAGAGGCTTAAAGGTTCATGGTGCAAATTTTTCAGGGAGAGTTTGGTTCCTCTTTGCTGATCATTGGACACACCCGTTGGGTAGAGGATGACCAGGCTTCCTGATTTCCCACATACTAGGCCCAGAGTGCCCATCCTCAATGTGTGTACCAAGGGATAACCAGGCCCCTTCCTAGGAAAATCCACCAGCCTACAGTTTTCCCAAAGCAAAGGCCTTAGGGGGTCTTCTGGTCGGAGCAGAGCATTTGTGTGGTGTTATGCTCCAGGAGAAACTTATATTCTCCTGCTGGCTCTACATCCCGTATTACCTGGTTTCTAGCAGGTTTTCAGTGCATCAGTATCAAATGAATGGAAGCTCTCAGCTCTGCTTGGAGAGGAAACTAGGGAAGTCTCTGTTCATAATTTCCACGCCGGCAGCCTGGAAGAACGTACCTACAACTTCAACACAGTAAACTTGCAAAGGTGATCAGAAGAGCTTCAGCAAATCCCATTTTGATGAGATGATTGGAGAATTGCCAAATAACATGACTTTAGTACTCGAGGACATTGTCAGTCTGCAGAATAGCTTGCTAGTGGGTTAAGTGCTGAATTCACTCCGTGGTAGCCCCAGCATCCACAAGGCATTTTGTTGTGATTTTAGAATGAAACTATGTGACCCCCATGTATACATATTCAGTCATGGTTAAAGCTGGATCAGTGAACATGCTTTGACCTCCAAGGTCTCCTGACATATTTTTATGAGTCACTTGCCTCAAAAATGGGAAAATAATGGCTTGCTAGAGTGAAAAAGAAAGTGGATCAGAGTCTGTTCTGGAGGATAGTCTTTTGGAGTGTTGGTTCTGATGTGTATGATTTAAACAAAGACCATAGTGTGTCCTTTAAAAAAAAAAAATCAGGCTCCATTTGACATTCTGATGGTACTCCTATTCCTCATGAGGAAAGCCTCATGAGGATTATTCAAACAGAAAATAACAAATTAACCCAAAGGAAAAAAAATTAATGTCTTGGAGAGAAATTTTTAATGACAGCATGATGTCCATTTTACAGAATTTAATTCAAATAACAGGCAATGCGTTTCCCAACTGGAACATTAGTTCTGTTCCCCAGCTGCTTTGTCATTATGTCTTTATTATGTCTTACCTTAAAGTTGCTTCCACCACATCAGAAATAATTTACCCCTAGCCAGGTTTTAAATCAAGGATATTCATCAACACACACTGGTTTGAAGTGATGATGTTATTTTCAATACCGGCGACTGAAAAGAAATGAGTTGAAAATGTTAAATGTGGTTCAAGTTCTTGTCACACCACAAGGAAAACATATTCCAAGCCAAATTAATTTAGGAAGTAAGACATTCAAAAGCATCCTCCAGTCAACTACAGTTTGACATATTGTGATTGTCTTGATGAATAATGCAGCAGAACGCAAATTTCTCCAATACACTCACCAATGAAGAGGAAAACAGAGAAGATAATGTTCTTAACTAGTTACTCTTTAGAGTTTTCCAAAAAGAGCACTATTTGCCATACAGTTTCAAAGAACAGTGGGTCTCAAGCTGGGCCATGACCACACTAGCTTGCTGGTCAATTCATGTGTAATGTAGGTTCAGTTTCACTAGGGCTGGAGCCTGGAGCCCAAAGCCTGTCCCCAGACTGAAATTCTCCTGTACTTCAGTTTTCCTTTTGTTCTGACGGCACTTCTCTCAACAGTGCCTGACAATGAGTGATGCTCTAAAACCCTGCTCTTTCACACCCGGTGGGTGACCTATAACTTTTCATGGGTCACCTTTGACCTGGGAGCTGACAGTTTGATTTATTGTCCGGTGTTATGATTTATGAGTATCTTCTCAGAATAATTAACAGACAACAGGTGGCAGCATAATAATTTTGATTACCCAGCGGTTCATGAAACCACGACAAAGGTGACTTCATTTTCTGAATAAGAGAAGGACAACAATTAGAAATTAAACAAAGAAATGCTTTTATGCCATAGTTTTCAGCCTTTTGTCCATCACAACAGAAGACTTATTTAAGAAGCCTGCATTCCTCTTAGACACCAGGAAAAAAAATAAGGGACTGCTACTCAGTGAATATCAGAAGAACACTTTTCATCACCGTATGGGTAGAATTATTTTCCTTTCTTTGGTGAAGTCTTGATTAATTGAGTTATGTCAGACCTGTCATGCAGACCACCTTTTAGCATCCCGTTTTTGACAATGGCCATTGCCCAGGGGAGAACTGTTGGTCAAAGGAAGTTTGGGAAAGCATTTAATTTTCTATAAAGCACTCTAATGTAATTCAACCAACTATACTTATAAACATTTCTGCCTGAGTATGCAAACAAAAGCCAAAAATACTCCCTTGCACAGAGCTTATTTTTATTTCAGAGTCTACAAAAAGCAATCTACTTTTTTTTTTAAGTACTATATTAATATGGTCCCTGTTAGTTTCAACTTCCTCCCCTATTCTCAGTTTTTGTGATGTTTTTCTTCAGGAGACACTACATCTCTTTCATTTAAGTCAAGGGGGGCATCCTCACTAGAGATTTTATTATGGGCACCTCACTCTTCTAGGGATTGACATTTATTTCCAAATGAATCCTCCATGCATTTCAGTAAGCACCTACCTTTAAGAATGCCTAATGCCATTTTTGTAATACTAAATAAAAATCAAGTCAGGTAAGATTTATCCCCCATAGCTCTCCATTTAATCTCTGCCGAAAATGGACCTAAGTGTTACTAATGAAATTGAAGTACACAGGCCTCTGAATATGTAACAGTCCTGCCTGCCACCCACATGCGAGGTGGCTAAGGGCCTCCCGTGCATATGAAATGCCATTTTGTACAGCTCCACCACACTGATATTACAGGCTTATCATTTTAATTGACTTTCTGACATATAAAAATATTCCTGCAATCCTGCTTTACATTATAGTTTAATAACAGCTTAACACACATCTATGAAATATTCATTCCTGTTACATTCAAATTTTAAAATATCTGATGGAGAGCCTGGTTAATAGATAAAGGAGAGTTCCTGGAATATTAAAGACACTTAGGTGCAGGTAAGGTCCTCCACTGGAAAGGAAAGCACAATTACCATGAGGACTGCAGATTTTTATTTATTTTTTTTAATTCAGAAAGATCCTCTTGAACCAAACTCTGGTGAATATAAGGGCAATTTTGTGGCAGGTTTTTTCTGTTTTTTTTTTTTTCCTCCTCTCTGACTACAGGTGCAAGTTTCCTGTTTATGTTCCATCAGCCTCACTAAACACAACTATATTCCTGAAGAAAAATCACAGAAATACCAGATTCATTCGTTTATGCTTGAAGCATTCTAGGGATAAAAACCTGCATATTCAGCAAACACCTCAGCAAACCCAGCACCACAGAAAATCCACCATTTGGTTAACTTGCTTCCAGGATCTCCACCCACCTTTCAGCTTCAGCCAGCAAGTCGGGGAGAAAGTTTACTTTTCACACATGATACATGTGCGAATCATGAGGTGATTTCGGTACTTTGTTCCCCATCAATTTTTAAATTAATTATCTGGAAGCAAGCAGCGGTTAATTTTGGCCATAGACTTTTTGATTAGAAGCTTTGACCCCATTTGCCTTTTGGCATCTCCTATACAATCCCCTGACACGCAGGGTAACCCCTGACACCTGACTCAACACAAAGTCACACCCTGGCCGGGCCATCTTCCACATTCAGCAATCCTTTTGTTGCCGTGGGACATTCACCCACCTCCATCCTCCTCTAAGAAACGCCGCTCCCTTGCCTTCCCCTTAAGCCTCTGCATCAAACTTATTTCCCAGGGGAAAGAACAGCTCCCCACCCCACCCCACCCCACCCCGTCCCGACCTGGTGCTATTACTTCTGTTTTTACAAACTTTTCACTACGGCATCATCCCATATGTTTGTGCAGCGCACAAGGCTTCTTTAGAAAGCGCTGATGCTAATTATAAATTTAATTTGCATTTTAATTAGAATGGTAGCAAATTAAAAGCGTGGCAGCTGGAGAATTTTGAACGCTTTGCAGAGATTTGGTGTCAGTATCTCCCTGTTTTTGACTCGGCAGCCCTTTCTCTCTTTCTCCCTCGCTATCTTTCCTTCACACAAGCTTGTTGGCAATTTTTCTCCCCTCATCCCTCAGTCGCTCTCTTTCTCTCTCATTCCTTTCATTTGTACATTTTTTCTATTCCTCCATTCTCCCCCTCCCCTAAGGATCAGCTTATGAATTTTCTTTCTTTCGCGCTGATAGACGGTCGGTGCCAGCCTGGGACCAGCCTGCGTGTGCAGAGGTGATGATAGTGTGTGTGCAGATCCTAGTGAAGCCCTTTCTGGTGTTACTCACGTCTGTCACACACGTAGGGATCTGATATTTCCTTCCCTGGAAGAAGGGAGCTGTGTGGACTCCTCGAGCCTCTGTTTACCACAGACTTTGGTCTCAATAACAGTGTCTTTAAATGACTCGGAATCTTGGCCACAGGCCTTGGACGCGTTAATAAAATATTCATCAGGCCCCCAGATGCCCCCTCGGCATCTGAGCAGAGGCATCGTTCAGGCTGTACGTCTGGGCAAGAGCCCTGTGCCTTCAGCCCGCGGACTGCGGCGGCTGTGTCTCAGAGCTGTCTCTCACTTGGGATGTGAGCATGTCTGTTTTCAGCGCTCACGTGAACACACTGAGGCAGTTCTGGCGTTTTCCCTATGCTGTGTCTCCATGGTCATTTTCCCTCCTTCTGTTCGCTTCCCCCACAGTGTCCTTGCTCAATAATTTTCATTAATTGATTGACAGCTCTGATAGACCCAACTAACCTCTATCTCACTCTCATGTCTGTTTTTAAATAAGTACTTGTACGTCCAATGACCTTGTCGCCTCATCAGCTATCAGAAAATGAGCATGCAGATATGGAAGGAGCTGATTAGCAAAATAAGCAATAGATCTCGTTGCTGGCTGAAGTCCACCGTGAGCAGTGACAGCAAAACTTTGCCATTTTACATTTCCGAGAGCATTAAAAAATAAAATGGTAAGCAATAAACTGGTGATGCTGAAACTCACAGGCATCCATTCAAACGTATTAGGAACAAGCCCCTGCCCATCATTTGGTCACCCAGAAGGAAGAGGAGGAAGGTGTGGGGGTCGTGCCTCAACAGCTCAGGGAAGGAAGACGCCTAGCAGTCGCCTCACGGGTCCTCCTTAAACCCTGAACCCAAACAGTTCCGACTGAGAGCGTTGTTCATCCTAAGAGCAGTTTGCGTCTACTGAATTCTGTGTGCACATGTGTGTGCGTGTTTTACTTTTTCTCTGTGTATTCTTGATTTGGGGATATGCTAGATAGATCAACCTTCAAGAGTTACTATTGATAATGAACTCTACAACTCTCATCCACCTAATAAGCAAGAAAATGTACTTCTACATCATGAAACTCCCAACACTTTACTAAATACTAAGACAAGATAAAGGACGGTAATCTACATCTGATAGCAGCAAAAACTTGTTATAGCCTGTTTTAAATATGCCGATTTTTACCTAAGTCAGTAGTCATATTCTATGAATGAGACTGAATTAGAAAGTTACTAATTACTTAATGGTAAGACATCACATTTCTCAAACCACCAAAAAATAAAAAAGTAAACCCACTGATACAAATGTCAAAATTTGCATTTTAATTCCAAATAATTTTTAGTGGATACTACCACTCATTTTACTTGATGAATATTTTACATTTTTCATTTCAAGGGCCTCGAACATAATTTAAAAACTATTTACTTCAGGGATGCTGATAAAAGTGGAATTTCCTAAAGGAAGAATTGTTTTATAAGTACCATCTATAATTTACACTAAGTTTTGGAAGTCGGAGACAGCTAAGTTTCCAAATAAACTATTTTATATTTTTATAAGGTTGATTGAGGTTATTTCAGAAATAAAAAAGCATGCCACAAAATTAAGTTCTTTAAAATTTGGACCCAGAGAGTTAGAAAAAAGACAGCATTAGCATTTACTTTAAGTATAGGGGCGAACTGATAAGATGTGCTGAAAGTAACATTTTGATGATGGCAAAGGTATCTAGAGTTTCACAGTTTGATTTATTGATAATTTAAACTTTGGTGTAAAGAGTGCTTTATTACATAAAAATTTGCTTCTTTAATTTGTAATTTTCATTTGAGAATTCTATCTTGAATTTTCAAAAGCAGGAGTATCTCTGTGATACTGGCATTTTAAAAATGTTAATAAGCATATTGCCATCAAAGAGTAGTTGTTTAAAATAGTGGATAATGGTATGCAAAACGTTGACCATGACTTACCCTAATTAAATAACACAATTACAAAATAGTGAAAATAAAAGTTCTCATTTTTTCACCACTGTGGCATCCACCACTTGTCTTCTTCTTAGCCAAAATATACCCACTGTAGTTTAAAACCATACATGTCCACCCCCTGGCTTTGAAAGGAAGCACACATTTTTGATGGCATTTTGAGATGGACAATGCAGTTTTCCAAGATAAATCTTTTTCACTGCCACTTTGGAAAGGTTTAGTTTTTCTTCATGTAATTTTTTGCAGCTGTACAAAACACTTTCATTAACCCAAGAATGGATTATTTGGAGTGCTAATTAATTGATTCTTCAAAATGCCAATTGACACACTCCCAGGGAAAACCTGATCTAAGCAACTATGTTAATCAAGCTATTGTACTTGTGGTTCTGTCTGAATATCAGACCATCTGAAATGAGGAGAACTTTGCCATTACTCGCCTGGCCCTCTCATGGGCAGCTAATTAATATGAGCTGAATATGACAGTTGTACTTGTACGTTCGCCGTACTGCCTGACAATAACTCTATAAAATTACATTTCAGCTAAAGAATGGAAACAGTGTTAAATACCATTATTTGCCTTCCTTTGATGTCTCAGAGTCATTATGAAAGCAATTACAGCCGTTTCTCTGTCTGTATGTCTACGGGGTATTTATTATCTGTATCTGTCTGAATCCTTTGCCAGGTGGAGAATATATGGCATATTAAAGACAAGGGAATTCAGCCACAATTATCAGGATGGGAACAGAGAAAGAAACAAAATCAGAGTTTTGTGGACGATCCTGCCAGAAAACAGTAATTTAATATTGAAGTCTGGTGATCTGGGGGAAACTTACAGGCTCTTTTTATTTATTTAAATTAAAAAAAAAAAGTCTCCAGGTTCACAAAGCTCATGAATCTAGGGCAAAATTAATCAAAACCAATAGGGAACTGGAAAACACAAAAACAAAAGGGGAAAAAAAAAAAAACCCTCAGGGCAGCAGCAGAAAACATATTTTGCTTCTTAATTATAAGCGAATATTCTCCTTTTCCACAAGCCCTTTCCTAAACAACGGGTGCAGTCCACAAAATGGGTTTTTGCTTTTCCAGGTAAAATGACTCATGGTCTTTTGCACACATGGAGTGACAGACACCAAGGATTCAATTTTCTGGTTACCTCCAGGACTTTCCTGGTGCTATTGGAAACTGGCATAATTCTGACACATCCCTGTGCCGCTCAGGTCTAACTCCTCGCTATGAAAGATGTCTCTGCACTTCAAAGGACACTTCTGACTGGCAGGCAAGGCAGGGCGGCTGCCCACCCTGGGGTGGAGTTTTTCTCCAGGGCAGTATCTGAGGATCGGCCTGTATATGATTCAATTCAGAGAATACTGATTGCATCTCCCCATGTACTCAGCATTCCATGAATGCTGTGGCGAAGGAGAGAGGAAAAAGGCGGGTGGGTGGGCTGAGGTCTCTCTCCCTTCGAAGGACTGAAGGAGAGACAGAGCGCAGCCATTCTTTAGCCAGGTTTTGGGCAAAGTCCTTGATGCGCATTCCCATGTGTCATCTGTGTGATAGCATATGAGGTGGCTTCTATTATCTCCACTCGTGGACCAACAAACCACAGTGCCCAAGGGCGAGGCAATCTGCCCAACGTCACACATTTGAGTGGCAGAGCTGGGCTTCAAACTACCTTCTGTCTGGCTCCAAAGCCTTGCTCTCTCTCCTAGCTCACATTCCTGCAAATGCCTAAGATCTTATTGGGAGCAACCACAGGTGATGTGGGTACCACGTGCTACCAGAAAGAGGGAGAAAGAAGATGGTCTACAGGGAGAAGCTGGAGTTTTGATTTGCACAGCTTCCTGCAGACGGACAGAACCACAAGGAGGAAGGGAGTCCCTAACTTTCCTCTCCTTCAAGATTCCCCACTAACACACAAACATGGTCTCCTATGCAATGAAGTTAATAAATGTGATTTGCAAAACACTGCACAAAGAAATGAATGCATTCATTAATATTACTGATCCTGAGCAGATTGGCATAGGATTAGCCAAGGTACATTTGAAGGACACTGAAGAGATGGGCTGCTTAGAATCAAGGGTTGGAATTCTGATGTGCTGTGTCTGTAAAGCTTTGATGGGCACTAACTGCCTTGTGTGTCCAGAGAGCAGGACCCTTCTGGGTGGAGATAAGTGGACACAGAGATGCTAGGCAAAGAGAACTTAAAACAGTACAGGCACTTCAGCCAAGAGTTTGACAATCTCAGCTATGACGAATGGTTCTTTCTCTCTCTTTTTCTTTCCTTCTTCTCCATCTGCTGCTGCTGCTTTTTTGACAGGTGCATTGGAAAAGTTAAACCACTGTCCAGAGAGGAAGGATGCTATAACAGGCCATCAGTAGCACAGTCTGAATGGTATCTGGCTTGCAAATATAAAATTGTTTCAACTACTGCAAAAATAAAGTCAGCTGCTGAAACAGTTAACAAAAACGCTTACATGAATTAGACAAAGGGCTGAATGTACATTCATGATGCTAACACCTGAAGTCAGGGAAAATACAGATATTTATTTAACAAGAAGGACTAGGGAAACATTTTATATTTTTGTCCCAAGTAACTTTAGTCTCAACAGAGTTCATGGAGTTGGCAATTCCAATAACTATAAAGACTGGATCTGAATTGAACCATGTTTCTGTTTTGTCTCCAGAACAAAATGTTTGTATATTTTTCAAGTATGTGAGTAATACACTAACTTATGTAATTGTATTAATAAATAAAGTAGTAAACCACTTGTAAAGGAGGAAAAATAACAAGGGCAACAAATTAAGACCAACCTGGGCTCAAGGTCGAATCTTTCCATCTCTGAGCATTGGAGGATGTTTTTTTTCTTTTCCCCTTGAATAGAAATGGCATTTGCTTCCCATGGTTACTATGATGTCTTAAGTAAAATAAAAGATCCAAATTATCTAGCAATATATATGGCATGTGGTAGGTGCACCATACATGTTATTACTCCTTTTCAGTTTTTAATTTGGTGCACGAAATTTTATTTGGATTAGAAAGAGAAATTGGCATACAAACTTCAATAACAATTAGGACTGGGAATGGCTTAAATACTTTCAGCTTTTAAAGATACTTTGCATGTTTCTTTCATGAGAAATTCAGTTCTTGTAATCAATGATGATTTTTATTTTGTAGGTTTGTAATCATCATTAAATATTCATTAGGGAAAAAATTTCAACATGCCTGTATCATGGGTACATGTCTGTATCATGCTACATGTCTGTTATCATGGGTGAGGTTATACTGCAGTAACAAACCATTACCAATGACGTAGCTCAAAAGCCTCAGGGTCTCAGAGCAACATGAGGTGCTTCGCCAGGTCTGCCTCATGTCCTGTGGAGACTCTGCAGGACCTGCCCCACGCTGTCCCTACGCGGGGACTTCACATTGTTCTTATCCCTGTGGCAGAGGGGGAGGAAGCTGGAGGGTCCCTCTCCGACGATTAGATGCCCCAGCCTGGAAGTGACCCGGGTCACCTCTTCTCATAGCTGATGCACCTGGAGCAGTCACAGGGCCCTACCTAACCCCAAGACCCCAAGTTTTCCAAGCCTGCCATTTCCCCAGAAGGAAAACTGGGGGAAAGTGGTGAGCTGGCTGCTACACTGGTCTTAGAGGACCATTTTTACACATTTTCAACATGCTTGTAAACATCAGAACTTAAAACTTAATGGAAGAGCAGAGTGACTGCAAAATCAAACTACTTTTTTACAACTATAAACGTGTCTCATGATACTCTTTTCTAAGTTCATTAAGTACCAGGTTGTCTTGATTTTTTTCCTTTGGGATCAGGTCAGTCAGAAGCATTGAGACCCGTGAGACTCTTTGAAGCTGAGCAGACCTCTTGGATATTGGCTGCAAATTCAGGTGAAAGCATTTCTTCTGGCCATCGCCAGCACTCCTTTTGCTGCCCTGATCAATAACTTTAGCTACAAAAAGCATCAAACATCTCAAAGACATCCCAAAGGCACAGGTCGCCAAAGGGAATAAAAAGAAAACACTGCATACATTAACGTTCTCCTTAGGCTGCGCAGACTTCCTTGTAGGCCCGAGGCCTACAAGAGGCCAGTGGTGATTGGGATGTTTAAAATTAGAGACTTGAACAACATTTCTTTATGAAATAGCTTTTTGAGCCTCTAGAGAAAAGAATTCTCTTTCAAAGAGTGATGGTTTCCTGTTTCGCAACCTGCATTTTCTCACCAAGTAGGTGAGAAAGGACAAAAAAAAAAATGAAAAACCAAAAAAAAAAAAAACCACAGGAGAATGATGCCAAGGATACTGATAAAAATATAATAATAACAATAACATCATATTAAGATCGAAAATAACGTAAATACCACGTGTTGACAAGAATGTGGGGCCAGCTAGCAATCTCATCCATCACTGGTGATAGCATAAGTAGAAAAAAACAATTCTTGAGGGCAACTTGGAAATATGCAGCAAAATTCTCAAAAGAGAAAAGTGCATGCCCTTCTACTCAGCAATTTCACTGTTAGGATTCTACTTTGAGGAAGTAATCAGAGATGTGTTTAAAGGCATGTTTATATGAATTATCATCATATTACTTATAACAGTGAAATAATAAAATATGCTGAATATACAATAGGGATTCAATTAAGTACATTCTATATGTGAAATGCTGATAAGCCATTGAAACTCACATATATGGGTGCATTTCTACATGAGCAGAGAAAAAACACTGGAGCAAAGCAAACAATTCTAAAGATATTTGATACAAGACAGAAGAGTAGGATATGACAAATTTGTCCTTTTTCCTTCTTTTTCTTTTTTTGGCCCATGTACATTATTTGGGGAAAAAAAAAAGATACAAATAAATAAAAATAAACTTTTACTATGACCCCTTAGATTTACTTGCTAAGTTGTAAAGGTAGGTTCTCATCTGCTGTGTCCCGAAATGTATATGAGGTAAACTAGAAAGTCCAATTATTCCTATTTTCCAGAAGATAAAATGAGGTTCAGAAATTTTGAACACTAGCTTTAACTGGTTTTATAACTGTAGTGGGCCTGTGTAAATATTAGTATCTAATGATACAATCAAGATAAATCAGTAGTTTGTAAATTAATGAGAACGTACATTGAAAATGCACATTGAAAAGTGAACTGAAGGGACTCCCCTGTTTGTCCAGTGGTTAAAAATTCATCTTGCAATGCAGAGGATTCAGGTTCCAGCCCTGATCAGGGAACTAAGGTTTCACATGCCCTGGGGCCACTGCAATTACTGAGCCCTTGCACTGACACAACTAAGACCTACCATGACCAAATAAATAAATAAACATTAAAAAAAAAAAGGAAAGAGAAGTGAACTGAAGCAGTAAGTTACTTAAAATATCTTTTGTATTATGTTATATATACTTCAATTTTAAAACATCAAATTTTATTTAGCATAAGTCATGTTAAGATAGAAAATATGTCTTTTTTTCTTTAAGGGTAAGATGTTAGACTCAAGAGATAGGAACGAATTGTTAATATATCACTTTTTTGAAACACATTCTGACATTTGTTAATTAAACTTTTCTTAAGGTTTAATGCATTGTCAACATAGGGCACATTTTCAGGAAAGCCTTGTGATCCTCCGAAGATTTAAAATAATCCAAAAGCTCATTTTGACATTCTACCTAACGTAGATAAAAGAGTATTTTAAGCTCATGCAAATCTAAAGAAACAGGGAAATTTGATTCATCCCATTAATTAGTAGGTAACACACTTATGTTTCTCTGAAAGGATGATTAATGCAGATTTAAACACCCTTTTTGGTTTTACAAAGTTAATACTATTTAATTACATGAGATTAAAGTTATACCATACCACATAGTTTATTCAGTATAGATGGGGTCAGAAGTTACAGTATTTAGCCAAGATCACCTTTTGCATTTTTCCAATATTGAATAAACAGGGCAATTTTAAATTATAAATGCTGATAATATTTAAGAGTTTCCTCATGTCTTCTAATTTTAGCTTAATAATCTTCTCTCCGATATCACTAATTTTCTTGGGGTCATAATTCCATAATGAAATGAACCAAGAGTAAGGATAAAACCCAATCTGTAATCTGAATGTTACTGGATTACAGTAACAAGGTGTTATCTGATCAAAAGCTTCCTACAGAATGTGTAAATGTAATTAATGTGAGTGGCTTGTTGGGGAAGTACATACACTGCTATCTGCTCAGTCTTAAAAAGAATCTGGGAGACCTATGCCTCTAAGCGAGCCACTCCTGTGTTCTTGCTTGGAAAATTCCGTGGACAGAAGAGCCTGGCAGGCTGCAGTCCATGGGGTCTTAGAGTTCTACACTACTGAGCATGCATGTATGCACGCTCACTTTTCAGAAGTGAGTCAAGCAGAGTGGGAAGAGCATGGACTCTAGCCCACCTTCTTAGACATGCAACCTCCAGCTGGTGTACAATCTCCAAGTCACACTTTCTTCGTGTGCAAAACAGGCAGTGTACAGGCTGCCTCAGTTCTTGCAATGAGTAAAATGTGACAATGTGTATAAAGGAGATGGTGTATTAAGGGTGTTTCATGAATATTCATTTCTGTTCCTCTACCCCATCCCCTTAACAAAATATTTGACTGTAAGGATTCCAACATCAGGCAGAGGGAATCTATCTATCAAAAGATGAAGTGCATCTGTAAACTGGTTTAACTGGAATGATATGTCAGTCTGAACTGATAATCATAAATATATGAGGCAGATATTATAAAATACTTGGACATTTTATGTAATGATGGATTTTTTTAATGAGAAGAATAAAATGAAGAGAGGGCAGAATTAATAATAAATACTATCTACTTAAATCATTAATTAAAGATCTGATTTAGGTTTGGTTCTTTCCCAAAGTGACAGAAAAAGCATGCTTTATTAATTCTGATTCCATCGCAAAAGTGAAAAACTGAGAAAAATGAGTGCTGACCTCCAGATTAGAAATGAAATGAAGATACCCAGATGGAATCTTGGTTTTGGATGAAGTCAGTGAAAGACACGACACTGTCCACATATCTGACAGTGGTGGGTTCCTTTCCTGGAGTCTCTTATGGGGACTTGTCTTGCTGCCACATTCATTGATCCAGGCATTGAGTCACCACACTGAAGTCAGTCCAGCACTCTGCTGAACACCAGAAATGCAAGTAAGAATAAAACTTAAAACTCGACTGCAAATTTCTCCATAAAAATCAGAATAGTGACTGTCTGCACTTACTTCACAGTTTCTAAAGTGCTTCTGTGTGTCTTCTGTTTTTTAACAACTCTGTACAGCAGTCATTATTGTCATTAACCTCCACTTTCAGAAATGTGAGATGAAGGCTCAACGAACTAAGGCCATTTCTTGAAGAACTACTCACTCACTGCAGAAATTCAAGACATTTGCAATCCATGATCCTTGATTAAAATTTGGATTAAAGAAAAAAAAAAACTAAAAGCAAAGCAAGCATACCAAGAATAAAGTGGGAGAGTGGAGAGTTTTGCAGATGATGGACTGTGAAACCCAGGAGGTAAAGGGGAAGGGCTTAGGCAGCTGGGAAGGGCAGGAGGGGAGGTGGAGGCAGCAATGTGCAGGGGTTCATGGTGGTCAGAGTGTGAAACAGGAGAGCAGGACCCGGGCCAAGGTTGAAGGCCATACAGGAGATAAATGGCAGAGTGAGAGAGATCTGAATGGACACAAGGCCAACGTAGTGGAGAGACTGCAAAAACAAAAGGGCAAGGCACATGGGTGTTCAACCCCAGATCTGATCCATAGTCAACTTCTTCAAGCTCCTTACTTTCCCAAGATGACTCTTCACAGGGAAGTGGTAAAAGGGGTTGAAGTGTCTCACATACAGGGTGGACGGCTCTGAGTCTGGCCCTTATACTAAATGTCCTCGCCAAGAGAGAGGTCTGTGGAGCGCGCTGCCCTCAGTCTAAGCCTGCAACAGTTTTCAACACCCATGTGATTTGCCCCTTTGGCATCTGGTGAAGTCTGTGAACCTTTCTCTGCATATTTTGAAGTACAAAGGTAACATAAGTGGGCTTAGAGAGAAAACAATCATTGAGAAACAGTCTTTAAAATAAAACTTGAAAGCATAAAGTTGTCTATAAAGAAAGCTGAGCACCAAAGAATCAATGTTTTTGTACTGTGGTGTTGGAGAAGACTCTGGAGAGTCCCTTGGACTGCAAGGAAATTCAACAAGTCAACTCTAAAGGAAATCAGTCCTGAATATTCATTGGAAGGACTGATTTTGAAGCTGAAACTCCAATCCTTTGGCCACCTGTTGCAAAGAACTGACTCATTTAAAAAGACCCTTTTGCTGGGAAAGATTGAGGGTGGGAGGAGGAGGGGACAATGGAGGATGAGATGGTTGGATGGCATCAATGACTCAATGGACATGAGTTTGAGTAAACTCCAGGAGTTGGTGATGGACAGGGAGGCTTGGTATGCTGCAGTCCATGGGGTTGCAAAGAGTCAGACATGACTGAGCAACTGACCGAGCAACTGACTGAGCAACTGAACCGAACTGACTGAAAGTATAATAGAGAAAGAGATGTGCTCGTTTCTTCAAACATTAACAGTGAGTCTGACTGTGCTTTGAAATAGTGTGAGCATAAACCTTGTTTTATCATCCTGGAATGTGAAGACATCCTGGAATGTGAAGTCAAGTGGGACTTAGGAAGCATCACTATGAACAAAGTTAGTGTAGGTAATTGAATTCCAGTTGAGCTATTTCAAATCTTAAAAGATGATGCTGTGAAAGAGCTACATTCAATATGCCAGCAAATTTGGAAAACTCAGCAGTGTCTATAGGACTGGAAAATGTCTGTTTTCATTCCAATACCAAAGAAAGGCAATGCCAAAGAATGTTCAAACTACCACACGATTGCACTCACCTCACACACTAGCAAAATAATGCTCAAAATGCCCCAAGCCAGGCTTCAACTGTACATGAACTGTGAATTTCCAGATGTTCAAGGTGGATTTAGAAAAGGCAGAGGAACCAGAGATCAAATTGCCAACATCCGCTGGATCATTGAAAAAGCAAGAGAGTTCCAGAAAAACATCTACTTCTGCTTTATTGACTATGCCAAAGCCTTTGTCTGGGTGGATCACAAAAAACTGGAAAATTCTTGAAGAGATGGGAATACCAGACCACCTTTCCTGCCTCCTGTGAAATCTTAAACAGAACTGGACATAAAACAACAGACTGGTTCCAAATAGGAAAAGGAGTATGTCAAGACTGTATATTGTCAGCTTATTTAACTTATGTGTGAGTACATCATGAGAAGTGCTGGGCTGGATGAAGCACAAGCTGGAATCAAGATTGCCGGGAGAAATATCAATAACCTCAGATATGCACATGACAGCACCCTTATGGCAAAAAACAAAGAACTAAAGATAAAGAGCTTCTTGGTGAAAGTGAAAGAGGAGAGTGAAAAAGTTGGCTTAAAACTCAATATTCAGAAGACTAAGATCATGGCATCCAGTCCCATCACTTGATAGCAAATAGATGGGGAAGCACTGGAAACAGCGAGAGGCTTTATTTTTGGGGGGCTCCAAAATCACTGCAGATAATGACTGCAGCCATGAAATTAAAAGGCACTTGCTCCTTAGAAGAAAAGCTATGACCAACCTAGACAGCATGTTAAAAGGTAGAGACATTACTTTGCCAACAAAGGTCCATCTAGTCAAAGCTATGATTTTTCCAGTAGTCAATATGGATGTGACAGTTGGACTATAAAGAAAGTTGAGCACAGAAGATTTGATGCTTTTGAACCATGGTGTTAGAGAAGATTCTTGAGACTCCCTTGGACAGCAAGGAATTCC